GGCGCCCGGCCCCCCGGGGGGCGCTCGGGAAGGGTCCCGGACCCCCGCCCCGGAGGTTAGGAGCGCAGATCCCGGAGTCCGGGCGATGGGGTTCCCTAGGCCCCCCCGAGGGCACCCCGCTCCCCCCTCTCCCCGTTTCCGTAAGCCCTTGGGTGGCCGAGGGAAGGGAGTGAAGTCCGTGGACAGGTGACGCGGGGTGGGTGGCCGAGCCCGGGAGGGGCTCGCCAGCCGCACAGGTGAGGCCCTGCCCGGCTCGGCCCAGCGCGGACAGGTGGAGTCGCTGGCCATGTGGCCTCTCGAGCGAGGGACAGGTGTGCGCGGCGAGGGTCAGGTTAGAGAAGACAGGAGTAAACTCGCTGTGGAAAATCCAACGGCCTGATAGGGTAACGGGCTTACCTTTATTAAGCTCTTCACTTAGGGGATGGGGTTTCTCCCCCCAAATGCTGAGAAATTGCCCCCACCGTCCCCAAAGGTATGTTAAAATGGTAGGAGTGTGACATCAGTGACACATGGACCCGTCTACGTGATTAAAGCCACCAACACAACACCACGTTTGCTTAAGCCACTTCCCTAAAATCCGGATTCACCAGGTAAATTTGGAGAACTCAGCTTGGTTCCCGAAGGTAGTTTTGAGGATGAAAAGTAAGGGAGCCCCTGGTTTTGTGATGAACCCTGACAGGGAACAGCAAGAAGTCTCCCAGAGAGTGTGGAGAGGTAGGCAGTGTTGTGAGGAGGGAGGCGCCCCTCCCCGACACAGCACACCAGATATTTTGTTTCAGACCTGCACGTTTTCCATATTTTCACGGCTCCACACGGCTTCCGATTTCCTTGACATCACTGCCTTACGGTGAAAGGCTCAGAAATAGAGCTGCAAAGTTTGGATTTTGAAAGGGAAAAACAGCGAAGTCCTTCCTTTGTACAGAGTTTTTTTCCCCTGTTGATTTCTTTGATTCCTACATTGGCAAAAAAGTTGCCAACAAAGAATATAATGTTATATTCTCTTTTGGAAGCAGAAAGGACCTTTATTGTTATGTTTTTAACCAGAAGACCAATCAATCAATCAGTCAACCCCAATTGCAAGGCTGATCCCTTTTCTGGGAGTAATTATAGTTGAGAAAGAACTCAGTTTGCTTCAGATACCCTTCTAAACACCATTCTTTTGCTATCGTTCTCTGGGGAGAGAGCCAGGACAGGAACGCGCCTCCCGTTTTGCAGACGTTTAAGGGAGATTGAAGGAATGTTTCTGATACACGTGGTCTCAGAGGTTAAGTTTGTTAAGCAGTGACTCAGGTGCACTTGTGTGCGTTTCACGTTTGTGCGGTGTGGGTGATCCGTGAGCTCCCCTGAAACAGCTCATGATGTGTCCTCAGCTCCCCGGCTGTTCGTTCGACACAGATTTATTCAGCCAGGGCCTGTTGTGTTGGACAAGCCAGAAGGCCCTGCCTCTTGTGCCCCACGCTGTGGAGGGCGGAGGAAGGTGTTGACAACGAATAGTAACACTCAGTGAGGTGGGCAGCGGTTGGGGTTGGAGG